ACATTTATTAAGTACCTATTGTGTGTGAGTGAGGTTGAGACGTGTTGAATTTGGTGCTAATGAGACTCACAGGTATAAATATCCAGTAGACTCTTAGGCATATGTCTCTAGAAGTTAAAAGAAATTTAGACATCAGATATGTTTATTATATATATATATATACACAGCCATTTGCACAAGAAATATCCAACTGTTTAACTTTGCCGATCTTCAAAGAAATGCAGATTACAGGCAAGAGATGCTTTTTTAGTACCCAGTGAATTATCTAACTTAAAGAATACTTATTGCAGGGGCACCTGAGTGGTGCAGTTGGTTAAGTGTCTGACTCTTGCTTTCGGCTCAGGTCATGACCGCAGGGTCATGAGATCAAGCCCCACTTCGGGCTCCAAGCTCAGAGAGGAGACTGCTAAAGTTTCTCTCTCCCTCTCCCTCTGCCCCTCCCCACACTCACTCGTGTGTGCGTGCGCTCGCTCTCTCTCTCTCTCTCTCTCTCTCTCAAAAATAAATCTTTAAGAAAAAAAAAAGAATACTCAGTGCTGGCAAGATTGTGGTCCAACTAAGATGCACATGTAAGAAATATAAATTGGCTACTGGTGGAAATATAAATTAGTCTAGGTATTTTGGAAAGCAGGATAGCCAGGCATGTTAAACAAAAAGAATTGTGTGTTGCCCTTTGCTTTAGTAATCCTGCACTAGAAAATTTATCCCACAAAAGCAAGCCAAAAAAGAGAAGAGAAAAATCTCTGTGCATCTTGAGAACAGGAAAGGGAGCTGAGGGTTGCTAAATGGTTAGTTGTACTAAGTACTGAAAATCCTCTCCTCCAAGCCTTGCTGCAGCCCTTTGAAGTGTCCCCACTTTACGGGTGAGGAAACAAAGCTCAGATGGATTAGTCATTTGTCGGTGGCGGAGTTTGCACTTACTAGCCTAACTCATACGCATTGAAGAGAGAACAGAAAAATAGTTAAATCCAATTATGAAATGTGATGCAAATTTTCTAAGTGTAGTCGTGTGGGGGGATGTCGGAAAATATAGGGAGGAACGGAGATGAAACTGGAGATACTCCATAATTATTAAGAATTTGTACAAGGACTAAGTAGAAAGAGACAATGAAAGTTTGATTTATTATAGTGGCAGAATCTGTTTAAGCAGTACTGATATTGCTGTAATTTCTTAAAAACTCTGTTGTTTTTTTGTGAAAAGAGTATAATCTAACATATTTTGACTATATTTGCGAATGTTTTATTCATACCTCTCCGTATCTCTAAACGTGTATGACCTGTTACATCGTATCTGGTGCATTCTCCACGTTGTCCTCATCGCCCTCCCCTTAACTCCTGAAAACTCTCCCTTCAGGGTCCATCACCAACAAAATCCCCATGTCCTTAAACTCTTCTCTGAAATTACTTTTATCTTGTTAAACCCTAACCTGGGTATGCCCTGAAAACACCACTTCCCTGGAGCCCTCTCAGGTGGCCGCTCCATTTGTTGCCCCAAAGTTGAAGAGCTGGGTTCTTCATTGCTCCCTTGACCATTCCACTTCTCCCCTCCCTGGAAACTCTCAGCTTTAATCTCGTGTCCCCAGACTCTTGCCCGCTACCCCATCGTTGCTGCTGATCTAGGATCCCACCCCCATTTCTCCATAATTTTCACTCCGGGCTCACTGCCCTTCTTTCCAGCATTCCTTCTCTCTTCATTCTTGGGGATTTCAATGCATACATATGCGATCCTTCTACTACCCCTGGCCTTTTAGATTCTGTAGCTTCTCGTCACCTCAAACTTTACCTCCCACGGTTGCCCCCTAGACTGCGTCCTCACCAACCACTGCATGCTTCCATTATCTCAAAGTGCATGCCTTCCTCACTGACCACTCCTCTGCTTGGCTCTTGAGCTCCCTCGCTCCAGAAATTCGACTCCATCAGAACCCACTATCCATTGATTCCGCTACTTTTCACCCTCATTCCTCCCTCCCACGCTGTTAGGTCCAGCTCAGGCTCCCCAGACAGACATTATATTCGCTCGCTTGCATACATCCTGGCTCCTCTGCCCTCCTTCATGTCTCATCCTCATTTGGCAGTTTTACAATCCTGGCTGAATCCAGATCTCTGCCCACTTTGTGCCAGCCCCTGTGCGTCGCACTTTGGCTGGAGAAAAACGTAGAACCGTACCGTTCGGTTTCACTTTTAATTCATGACCGTGAAACTCAAGTGGGAACTTAGGGCTGTCCAGCAGTCATGATGTGTCATTCACTCTCAGTGGACCTTTTTATGGCCTTCTCCTCTTCCCTTAGCACTCCCACAGCTCATTTCTCAATCGTACTCTCAGTGGATGCCTTTCTTCCAACTTTTGCTGGAAATATTAAAGCAATAAGAGGGAGTTCCCACCGGCTCCCGCGGAGCTGTCACACGGGAGCTCCTGCTGAGGACCAGCCCCTCCACTCCCCTGTCCCCTCTGCCTACCCAGGGACATGCTCCAATAATTCCACCCTCCTAGGCTTGTCCCTCCGTTGGTCATTCCCATATTAAGGAAACCAGAAGCACCTCCTCGGGCCTGTTCCATGTGCTCCCTCAGCTACCACGCCGTGTCTCTTCTCCCCCTTCATAGCCAAACTCCCCAGATGTCACCTGCTGTCCGTTCTTCCTATTCCCACTCCTCCCTTCTCAGTCTCTCCTAAATCCAGCTCAGGCAGGCTTGACCCCACCTGCTCACTGCTCCTGTTGAAGTCCCCACTTAAATACAAGTTGCTAAACCCGACAGTTGTCAGCTTTCATTTCAGAGCTCCTTGAAGTGCTCGAATCACTGGCTTCTAGAATGCACCCCTTCCGGATTTGCCTCTCACTACCACCCCCCCCTCCTCCAGCCAGTCCTTCGGAGTCTCCTGGGACTCAAACCTTAGACGTCTTCTCTGTCTACACTGAAGCCCGTGCTCTTTCATCAGTAAGTGCCATGGCTTTAAAGATCATCTGTGTGCTGATGACTCCTAGATTTATTATCCAGCCCAACTTCTCCCTGAGCTCCACATGTACATGTTCATCTAAGAGCTTTTGGGATATCTTTATTGAATGCCTAGTAGACGTCTCAGACTGAACTGATCCAACCCCCACCCCTCCAAGCCTGCTTCCTTCAGCTGCTCAGGCTAAATTCCTAACACTTTCTCCCCTTTTCCAAACCCCTGCCATCTCACACCTGGCTGACTGCAGGGGCCTCCTCACTGCTCTCTGCCCCTACACCTTGCACCTTCACAGTGTGTTCTCAAAACAACAACCAGAGTGGTCCTTCTATAACGTTGGTTAGATCACTTCTTCACACATACCTCCCAGTGGCTCTCAGATAAAGAGCTACAAGTCTTCAAAGCTGTACGTAGTCTGACCACCTGTTATTTCTCAGACTTTACTTTTCTCCCCTCTTCCCTTTTACTTACCCCACTCCAGCCAACACTGGTAGCATGCCAAGGGGGCAGCTACCCACCCACCTCCAGCTCTTTGCCTAGACTATTGCCTATGATTAGAATTCTGAGAACACAGGCGCCTGGGTGGCTCAGATGGTTAAGCGTCTGCCTTCGGCTCAGGTCATGATCCCAGGGTCCTGGGATCAAGTCCCACATCGGGCTCCCTGCTGGGAGCCTTGGGAGCCTGCTTCTCCCTCTGCCTCTCTCTCTCTCTCTCATGAATAAATAAATAAATAAAATCTTAAAAAAAAAAAAGAATTCTGAGAACACACCTCCCTGCACTCTCTGTCCCCCTCTCCCAGCCGTATTAACAATATTTCTCACCCCCTGACCTATTATATACCCTAGTCATTTCTTGTATTCATCATTGTCTCCTGCTACAATGTAAGATTCAGGAGGATAGAGATCTTTATCTGGCCTATTTATTGACTTCTCCCCAGCATCTAGGATAATGCCTCCACCTAATAGATGCTAAAAAAAAGTCCTGAGAATATGAATGAAAGTTCTCCTATTTCCTCCTGATGCCCCACAGACACATGCTGAGAGATCTGCCTCATTATAGCTTTTAATTCCTTTTCGAGTTTCTCAAGTGTTAGATTGTAAACAGCCTTCAGAAAAATGACTACCAAGAAACACTGTGTCTTTGCCTTGAGTACATACGGTCTTTTATTCTAAACTGAAAACAACTCCAGAATGGAGCACAAGTGTCATCAATATTGAAAGTATATAAACAACAATAGATCCTTGAAATTTTTAGGAATATGTTCAAAGTTCTTCGCAAATCCCCCAAATTATGGATACCATGATGGTATATTCTTCCCATGAACTTCATACAGAGCAATAAAAAGGAAAGAAGGAAGCCACATGTGGCTCCAGATGCTACCTGGCTTGTCGCCAGGCTCACTCACTGGATGGAGGCTCACCCCCTGGCCCAGCGCCGCTCTGCTCAGTCTTCACACTTGTGCGGCAGCAGCACCACAAATTACCGCGGCTCACGAGCCCTCAGCATCGCCCACACACTGTTAAAAACCAAGGATATCAATTCTGTGAGAGCCAAAGGTCCACGGTACTATTTTGTCCTACCTGCAAGACTTTTAAACACTAATTTTTAAAAAAATCAGCTCCCCCAGGTCGCTCGGCCTTCGTTTTAGAATATCACATGTGTGGGTGTTAATTACAACTCAGTGACAAGGTTATTCCTGTGAAACACAAAATGAGCAATCATTTGTAACCGAGTAAATTTTCACTTTGAGACCAAATTACGGATAAGCGTCCATTTGGTTTGATTTTGGTCATCGGGTAACAAACTCTTGATGTGAACAAAAAATGAAAAAGAAAAAATAACGTGTTTGTTTTCATCTGTAAGCTGATTTTTCGCTATGGATTCTAGTTTGAAGGAAACCTTCTGCCATGGTAACTTTTTCCCCCCCAATGATAATGATCAGAAACCTTTGACAAAGAAGAGTGGGCGTAAGGAAAGGGGGATGCTGTCGCCACAGTGACAGCCGGCCAGCATAAACGTCTCACATCTCTTCCGTTTATCGTGTATTTTAGGGCAATTCAAGCTGCTGGAACAAGACCGAGATATAAAGGAGCCAGTGCAATATTTCAACAGTGTGGAGGAGGTGGCCAAAGCATTTCCTGAGCGCGTGTACGTCATGGAGGAAATAACATTCAACGTGAAGGTAGCTCTAGAAGAACCAAATATTTATCCTCACTGAAATAATTTAACTTTCAGGTCATTATGTACACAGTACGTTCCCCTCTGTGCCTCGTAGGAGAGTTCTGTCCTCCTAATGGGTTCATGCCAAAACTGGTCTTTTTAAGAACCGCATGAGCTGTAGCTGACCTGACTCTCCAACAGGTTACGATGTTAACATTATCTCTTGCTAGAACAACTGTCAAGGCAGATCAAAAGGGTCTTTTTTTTTTTTTAATTTGGACTTTATTCTCTAATATGTAACAGTTGTTTGGCCAGCTCCTCTGTGGGGCTGGATGCTCCGCTTGTGGGAGCAAAAGCAAAAGGCTTATGACACAACTAATACTGCACACTTAAAGAAAAAGAGAGAAACTTTCAGAGTACGCCCTGACACCGGCTTATATTCATTCCATTCTCTGCAGACTGTGTCGGTACACACAGAGAAAACTGATGTGTAGGATGTTGCCCAGTAGGTATTTATCGATCTTGGTTCATCAGAGAAAAGCCGAATAGTGTTTACTGTGCTGTGTTCGTTTTGCATTCTTAAAGGGACAGTTCTGTCCCCGGCTACATAGTGAGCGAGCTCCTTTGACTAGATCTGCTGTTAACCAGGGAAAGCAGTGTCACTGAGGCCCAACCTCTTTGCCTGAACCCACTGTGTTTTCTTCAGCAACACCCACAGCTATGCTACAACATTCTCGAAAGTGTTCGCATTGAAAGCATTAACCTCATTTCAGCAGGAAGTCCAACTAAGTCACATTCTCTAAACATTTCAATATTTGGGGAGCAGGATGCCTGTTCGTTAGCAATTCACTCTATATGAAAAACAGACTGGGGTATCTTAGTCCAAGAATGTAACAGTGTCTTTGTGGATGAGTCACTCCACCCACACTCCTCGGGAAAGGGGGAAAATGCCCAAGACAGCCTCTTTACTGGATGGAGCAGTGGTCCTGCCCATTTGATCGGCTAAGCCAAGTCATCCTTCCAGTTCTAAAATACAGCTGCTATCGGGGCGCGTGGGAGGCTCAGATGGTTAAGCGTCTGCCTTGGGCTCAGGTCATGGTCCCAGGGTCCTGGGATCGAGCCCCGCATCGGGCTCCCTGCTCGACGGGAAGCCTGCTTCTCCCTCTCCCTCTACTGTTCCCCCTACTTGTGCTCTCTCGCTCTCACTGTCAAAAAATTAAAAATTAAAAAAAATAAAATACAGCTGCTGTAGTCTACTTTCTTTGGTTTTATTAGTAAAATGGGTAAATTTTGTGTCCTGTTAAATTCTTTACTAGCTAAATTATGCTGGTATTCAAAAATATTTATAACTTTTAGGTCCTTCAGTAACTTAGTCTATGAGTCCTCAAGACAACTTGAACTTACCTTGAAGATCTGTGAAAACATGTTCATTTTTAAACATACCAAGATTCGTTGGTCAGAAGTTCATCAAATCCTATTTGATTCTTGTCTTGATAGGATTTAAATCTTTCCTTAAAGCTTCTATTTAAAATTTCCTAAATGGAAAAAAAAATTGTCTACAAAGAAAGTTCATACTTTAAAACCTTGCATTTGCTGATAAATCATGAGAAATCAAGCATAAAAATTTATGATTTTTTAAGATTTTGTCAAGTATTAAAATTTTAAGTCTTTTGTGGCATGTAGTACTTGTAAAAGATTTTTTTAAATGCCTCTAGCACCTGTTTTGTGTGTGTGTGAATTTGTGTGAAATCAGCAATGATTGAAAGAATAATACTGAAATCAATAGTTTGATGGTTTGTTTGTTTTTTCCAGAATACCAGGATTGACTCAGTGTACTCAAACATAGGTAATAGAGATGCCATTTAAAAACTCAGCACAGGAATGTGAATGTATTTAACACTGCTGACCTGTATACTTAAAAATGGTTAAGATGATAAATTTTATGTTATGTTTACATTAGCACAATTTTTCTAAAAAAGCCAAAAAAAAATTTCAAAGGCACAGACAAATGGGTAAGTGTATGGACTATAAGTTTACAGCATCCACAGAGCTGACTGGACTTGGGTTGAGTTCCTGTGCTATGCATACATAAATATTTAATACCTCTCGTCTATTACTTACAAAGTTTTAAGATGCTATCACATCCATCCGGCATTAATCATTAAGACATCGTTCAATTATATTCAAAGAAGAATTGATCAAGGAACCTCAGGAAATTTGCACAAAGAAATACACAAAAGTCTGTGTGCCTAGTGAATAAATACCCAAGTAAATAAATAAACCAAGGAGGTTTATGGAAAAGATGTCTGGGTACTACCTGGACCACCCTCCACCCCCAAAACACAGTGTTGGAAGTCATGGTCTGTAAGAATTGATCATAATGTGCATGGGTGCAGTACTTAATGGGAGAGCTAAGTGGTATGCTTGGTTACTACTTTGCCTGGAGAGGAAAAAAAAAAATAAAAACTAGTACAGCAGGGGCACCTGGCTGGCTCAGTTGGTAGAGCATGCGACAGTTCAAGGCCCATGTTGGTCGTAGAGCTTACTTAAAAAAACACAACAGTACCATATTCTCACAAATATAGCTATTATAAATAGTATTAAATAGATAGTGTTAAATATTATATAAATAGAGATATTATCCAGAAAGCAATTTTTTAAGTGATAGCAGAATTCAGATCTCCTTGCAAAACTTCACCCTCTACTCCATTTCAAATAGAGCATAAATTAGACCAAGAGGATAAACAACTGAAGAAATGACTTGCAGTTAAGAATTGGCAGCTAACAGGCATCTTGGGAGTCAAAAGGCACAATTATTAATTGAAATAAAGAAAAAAATATATATATATATTAGAGAGAGAGTCATATATACTTACAAGAACAAATAGAAACGAAACATAGTAATGCTGTGGAGTAGAACAGAGGTGTTGAAAGATTGGGAACTCTTTAGTGGTTGTTACTTTCAAGACTGTAGCAGAATTTTATCTAAAATTTAATGGATAGGTTTAGTACTGTTCACAAATTTATTTAAAATTAAGCCATTCCTGGGGCATCTGGCTGGCTCAGTTGGTGGAGTGTGCGACTCTTGATCGTGGGGCCATGAGTTCAAACCCCACGTTGGGTGAAGAGATTACTTTTTAAAAAATTAAAAATAAGCTATTCTTTTTATCTTGAAGTTAAATGTCTTGAAGATGCCCTGATGTGTTTGAAATTATCTGCCTGATTGCCCCATCACTGATTAACTTGCATGAAGTGAATTAATATATGTTAAATGTTTAATTCTTTAACCAGCAAATATATTTTAAAGCACCTCTTGTATGTCTAGCCACTGGGAATAAACAGTGAATATGCAAACTATGGAGGTTCTCATCAGTGGAAGTGGCAGACAATAAATATACAAGTACAAATGCTACCTCCAAATAAAGAGATCAAGGAGACAGACAATTGGGTGTACAAGTTTGGAGCTTGGGGCAAGGAATGGGCTTATATGTTTGGGGCTCATCAGCTCCTAGATGGCATTTGAAGCCATAGAGCTAGTTGAGTTCACCTACATCTGTGGTTCTCAATCAGGGTGATTTTTTTTTTCCTCCCAGGGACATCTGATAATGTCAGGGTACAGTTTTGATTGCTACAGCTTGGGGAAGGGTGAGTGCTACTGGTTTCTAGTGGGTAGAGGGCAAGGGTGCTGCTAAAAATCCTAGAGTGCACAGGAGAGCCCCACATCAAAGAATAATCTGGCCCAAAATGTCAGTAGTGCCAAAGCTGAGAAGTGTCTGACCTAGACACTAGATAAAGAAGAGAGGAGACCAAGGAATGAGCCCTGGAACACCCCAGCATTGGGGTCCAGGAGAGATTGCAGGGAATCACAATGAAATAGAAAGATGGTGGAGCATGTGGATAGATGTTCGAAGAAGCCAAATGGCTTTAAAAAGTGTTTCAAAGAGGAATGGACAACAGTGTCAAGCGCTACTTACTGAATGAATTAGAGGAGGACTGGGAACCATCTGTTAAATTCAGCAGGATGGAAGTCTTGTTAGCCTTGACAGGAAGAAAATAATAATCAGCTCAGAGACCCAGAAAGTAAGTTTACCAGGGAAGTACAGCAGGATGGTCCCAGAGTTTTGTCAAGGTATATGCATTTCAAGTGAGATTACTCAGCACCAACTTTTTTTCTTTGGCTTCCTGGATGCACATACAGAGTAGACAGAGCAGTAGGTTTAATCAGAGTTGGGGCTCTACTGGATGAGTATAACAGAAATTAGCAAAGGTGTGGATGAAGTGTGCCCTAGAGTGACAGGTAGTGATGAGCCATAGACTCCTCACTGGATAAAGAGTATGAATACAAGAAGTGTAACCTCAGTGAAAACCAGAGATCCTAACGGGGTTAAGGAACTTCTGAAGTGGTTAAGAAAGTGATGTGAAAAATTGGTAGAGTATAAAATGCTTGAAATTGAACTTTAGGGAATAATATAGGAAATGGCAGGAGTAGCTGAATAATACAGGAAATGGCAGGAGTAGCTGTTCTTTCAAATCTAAGTATGTCCGGGGCGCCTGGCTGGCTCAGTCTGGGGAACGCGCAACTCTTGATCTCAGGGTTGTGAGTTTGAGCCCCATGTTGGGTGTGGAGATTACTTAAAAAAATAAACTTAAAAAAAATAGACAAAAACATATCTAAGTATGTCCATTTGAGTGGGCAACTAAGGTGGTAGGAACAGAAAATGGAAGATGAGATGATCAAGGAAATCAAAGAATATGTGGACCAGTAACCTCTTGCTCATCATTTGTGTACATTGGCTCCAATCCCTCCTAAGCCAATGGCATTCGATATTTCAAAACAGAAAAAAAAAAAAAAAACAACCGGCAGTCACTTGCCTCTTTCATTGTCTACTTTATCCATCTAGTTCCCATGGTGAGAGCTCTGTTTTTGTTTACCTGCTTTACTGCATATTTGTTGTTGTTGTTGTTGTTTTTTAAGATTTGTTTTTTTTTTTTGAGAGAGAGAGAGCACATGAGCAGAGTGAG